ATGTATAAATATATACATAATTATTTTTCATGAAAAACTAAGATGCTGCATTTTGTGTCCATTTTTCCTGGAGCGATGTTTATCCAGATCTGTTCATCCAGATAGGGCACCAATGACAGACCAAATAATGATTCCAAGTCTAGTTTAATTGGGGCTGTTTCTAAGAGCATGGCTGACAGTTATCTACAGGGGCCCAGGCAGTTTAAGGGCAACTGCTGTCCTCCCACTTCCACCCCAGCATTGTTAATTGCTTATATATTGGGAGGAGGGAGGTAGGGAAACCCTGTGAGCTACTAGTGAGCTTGAGCACTTCATGCATTCTTTCCTCTGGTTCCTTGTGAACCTTTCCTCTTCTCCAAAGGGAATGTTAGCAGACCCAATCTTGTGAGGGTCTTGTGGGGATAATCACAGCTGTTGTAATTTCAAGACAGTAACAGCCATGCCACGCCTGAATGTTCTATAGCATACATTTGATCACATAATGAGATATCCATTCTGTGCTTAGGAATCAGAGTATTTATGAGAATAATTTTGCTTCTTTATTTTCTTGAACTTATTGGATCAGAGACTGGATCATATTAGTCTTACGTGTCCAGCATAGTTCTTCGCATAGTTTGATAATTACTCTTTTTTTTCATTAATTTCTTTTTTGTGTGTATGCATGTGCATGTGGCACTACACATGTGCAGGTCAGAGGACAAGTTGTGTTAGTTTATTCTTTCATTCTACCATATGGGTCTGGGGATCAAACTTAGGTTGTTAGACTTTGCGGCAGGTGTATTTACCCGCTGAACCATCTTGCCAGGTCAGATAACTAATCCTTAATCATGGAATATCCTTTTTTGTTTTCTGTTTTTTGGAGACATGGTCTTCCTGTAGCCCCAGCTGATCTGGAATTCACTATGTAGACCACACTGGTTTCTATCTCAGAGATCCACCTGTCTCTGCCTTCTGAGTGCTGGGATTAAAAGTATACTCCCAACACCCAGCTTTACAATTTTTTTTTGAAATGAGAATAATAGGGCTGGGGAAATGGCTCATTGGGTTAAAGCTCCTGACACCAAGACTGACAGCCTGAGTTCAATCCCTGGGACCCACATGGTAGAAAGAGAGAACTGACTCCCACAGGTTGTCCTCTGGCTTCCACAAGCACAGTATAGTACACAGATATTCACACACACTCATACGTTCATACATATATAAATGCAAACAATAATTTTTAAAATGAAGATAATAAATAATACCTGCTTCATCAAGCTAGACCGAGGATTAAAAAAATCAATATATGTGAGACATTTAAAGCACAGCTGCCACTTTGCAGAAAGAGCTCCTCGTTTTAGCTGCGTATTCTCCTTTGTTCATATTTTAAAAGATATTTTATTTATTATTTTTATTTTATTATATGAGTGTATTGTCTGCATGTGTGTAATGCACTTGTGTCATGCAATGCCCACGTTGGTCAGAAGAAGACATTGGATCCCCTGGAACTGGAGTTAAGGACAGTTGTTAGCCAC